TGTAAACCTGACTGGTCATTTTGCTGTAATCAAGTAATATTGCACCTTTTTAAATTTCTTCACAAGTGTTTCACATTTCATATCCAGCCCCTTTTTCCCAGCCCGTGCACGCACAGACAGTCCTTGATTGAACTGAGTGAGAGTGCTACAGTTGAAGAGACATCACACTAAACTTGGCAACAGTGCTCCAGTCCATCCAGGTTATCTGCTTCAGTGGACATGCTTTTGCCCAGACACGCTGACAGCTTTAAGCGTCTGCTCAAAATACAGGCTGGTGGACAGACTGCAAGATCTAATGCAGTTGAATCAAAATTTGAAGCGTTCATTTGTGCCATTTGAAAAAGTCATCAAGCTATTTCTCAAAACCGAGATATCTGTTTTTGCAATTGGACTCTTTATTTAAAAAGAGAAGCGGAGATATTACTTATGGGGTATTCATTAACACACAACAATATGATCATCATGTTAGTGATATTAGTGTTAGTGAGAAAAAAGAAAAAAAAAAAACTTCTTAAAAATCTTTAGTTTCAGTTCTTCACTGATTGGCTGGTGCACGGTCTACAACTTCCTGAGTTTTTGCAAACCGTCTAGTGTATTCTGATTCTTGACCTAGTTGCTGGAGAGAAATTAAACTGAGCGGAGGCACTAGGTGGCGCCAGCCTGGCTTCCAAAATTGTAGTACTTTAACAAAATAATTTAGTAAAATATACCAAAAAATACCCCTGGCAATATATATCGATAGGGCAGCCCATGATATCAATACTGTATCATCACATTAAACAATACAATATATCTATATTTTGATATTTTTGCACACCCCTAGTGTTTTGTATCTTGCTTTTTTATATTTATGACAAATGGCCACACACTCATATAGGCTCAAACTGCTAACCGTAAGAAATAACATGCTCGAAAGCTCAAAAAAGTTGAATTTGAATATTACCTCTGCATAATATCTTATCTTATTGTACTCTAGAACCAGCTAACGTTGTAGTTTAGACTCCTTTTACTATGTTGTGAAATGCAGAGTATTCTTCAATTAGTTTTGCAGTTAATATTTCAAGTCTTTTCACATTTGTTAATTCTCCTGATCTGTAGGTGATATATCTAAAGTGTAAAAAAAATAACATTAATTAAATCTTAAATAAATATTACAACATATTTTTTGTAACTGGTTGTAAATCAATCACAATTACAATGCCATTGGAGGTGAGATCATTTTATTATCGTCAAACTCCAGCCACGGACTATTTAAAACTCATTCTATAGATATAGTTCACAGATGTATCCTATCACGCAAGTAGTACTGAACTTTCCAATCGCGTTTGAACCAAAAAAAATATTTAGACAAGCACATTACATCACTAGCATCTATCTTCTTCTATGGAAAACACCCATTCCATAGGTTTTGACAAGGCCCCGCAAAGTTTATGCAAATAGATGTACGATTCAAGAGTCACGGCCCGAAAATGTGATGTTTATTTGTAAATGCTATCCGGTTTTGTTGTGATTGGCACTTCATCATCTTCTGCAATCTAAGCAGTTGTTCTAGCCGTTGTCTTTGATGGTTAAAAGCCCTCACCACTTTGGATCACATGACTAGATGATGTCACAGGAAATGCTTGCAGGCTGATGTCTGTGCTGTGAGGTAGATTCCTGGGCCGGACAGTAATGATAGCAAAGGGGCCAGAAGGAAAAATTACGAACGCATTTTTCCTAAATACTAGATAGTACTATTAAATTGCGTCCTGATTAATGTGGAAAACTGTTGTATTTCTTTGGAGAAACCTAAGAATTCAGTTTGTGATTGTTAAAGAATACAAATGACCTATGCACAGAAACAGCAGGGCACTCAAGCAGACTTCCTCAGAATGTGACTCAGCATTTATTCCTTGATTCTTTTTGGGAAACGTAATACAAGCAAGTGCCAAGACATGTCCTTTTATTTGCATATATGAGAAATTAAAGTGCCTATGACAAGTTAGAACAGTCATTTCACTAAAACATTATTCAGATAATTATACGTCTATCATTTTACTGGAAATCTGTCTCAGTTTTATTTATTTTCTAAACGAATCTCTCTTTTTCTTGTTTAAAGCTGCTATATTGTTCTATATTGTACAAAATTGTGAGCTATAAGCCTTGTTACGATGTTGTTACCTCATCAGAAACATGCCTGGTGTTGTTTTGTTTCATTCACACGTTTTAAGTAATCCTGCATTATTAACCCCTCTACATCTCCAAAGTTGTGATGTCATGAATTGGTAGTTTTCATGTTAACACAGTGGGATACTTCCTGTGTTACCACATGACATCACAAGGTGAAATAGAGTGTTTTCAGTTTGAGAAAAAAACAGGATATGCAGGATTTGTGTGTTAAACATGTGTGAATGAAACAAAACACAACTTTAGGTATGAGGTAACAACATTATAACAAGGCTTACAGCTGACACAATTTGCACAATATAGAACAACATAGGGCATTAAATGAAGAAATGAAGAAAGAAAATAAATAAGAAAATAGATAAAACTAGGTAAGATTTTCAGTAAAATGTTAGGCCTATAATTATTTTAACAATGTTTTAGTGTTCTAACGTCTAGTGTTCTAATCTGTCATGTTTTTGATGAGTTAAGCATAACATGGGTCATTTCATTTTGATGCCGTTTATAATTTTACTTTGTGGTTGGGCATGGGCAGAAGCTATGACATGTGTAGCGGTAATGCCATAACTCTTACCTACTATGTCAGCATGGGCCAAAACTTAGTCATTGTAATGATTAAACTAATACAAATAAATGATTCCTTACATTAAATGAAGGTTTAAACTGCTAGAGAAATGTGCTGCTTGTAGGTTGTCCTGGGATTTTAGAGGGATTTTTTTTTTTGTATTGACATGGAAAGAAAGATTCAGTTTCAGAACATTCTGCTACTTCCTGTATTTTTTGTATTTACTCAACATTTTTTCCACAAGTTGTCACTTAACTGATGTAAAACTATTTACCGCGGGGTATTATCCCACCAAACCGAGTAATAATTAGAAAAACATGAAAACCTGTCTTATGCACTTTTGTATACTGTCATTGTGTTAACTTAATAATGAGTTTATAGACACATGGAGTTGGAAGAACAAAGTGTTCTTTTCTGTTACCGAAGTCGACAGATGAGCAGAGTGCCTGCAGAGCAAAGAAACACCAAAGAGGAAGGTTTGATTATTCTGAGGGATTCCTGTGTCTGCTCCTGGACAGCAGACAAATGGAAACCTGCCATCTGAGCTGTGAGCCAACGGCCTTTTGAACTATTGTACTCTGCTGCTATAGTAACAATTGGCCTCAAATGGTGTGTTTATTTCACTATATGTTCGAGGGTGAAGGAATTAATTAAATGTTCTTATTAGAGTCTGTGCTAATCATTACGGAAACAAGAGAGTGATTAAACAATTATTGTGCTTCCTGTTTAACATGGAAAGGCAGATGTGGCTGTTTTTTCTGTATGCCAGCAACGCATTTTGTAAATAAATACAACTTGTATGCTTTGGTAATTGATAAGCGTCATGCTGTGGAAGATTATAGCCATAGGAATGAGATTTCAGCAGCAGGATGCCCTCCTCCAGGCCAGGAGATACAAGCCTCAGTAAGGAGTAAGGGTTTTCAGTGCAATAAACACAACCAAAACAAAACAAAATAAAATAAACAAAAACATGCAACATTATTTCAACCTATTTGTAACTTGAAAAGCAAGATACTGTGTCTTTAAAGGTGCATTGTGTAACTTTTCTGGTGGAGGGTGCATCCAATGCTTTTCTTCCTTTGTCTGGAATGTTTCACAGTATGAAATTAAACCGTTCTATCTTCATGGAGACCAAACCAGACCAAGTTACAGGTCAGATCTGTGGAGAGACAACCCTGCTCACAGTCAGAATGCCTGTTTTTCTAGTTATTTTGAGCTATAAAACCACCTGTAATCGAATATATGTAAGATATAGCTGTTAAATGTCATACTGTGGAACATTCCAGGTAGAAACAAGCAGGTGAAGGACCCCCAACCAAAAAATGGATAGTGCACCTTTTAAGGGTCATTCAAGATGATTCTAAGAAAATGTATCTAGTTTTTAGTTATCTTATGTATTAGTTTGTAGTCAAGGTTGTAAAATTTGTTAAGGAGATACTAATAATATTTTGCTTTCTAGACTTTTCTTTCTGTAGCCTTGTGAGAAATTGGAAAAATACTACAGTAATCTACAAACATGCTGCTTGTTGATCTCATGGTCTGAGCAGTGCAGTGTACCTGGGTGACCTCATGTTTATTCCTCCAGTGAGCAGAAGCAGAAGCATTTGGCCCAGAGTGATGAGTGAGTGGGCTGCTGAGGTCAGTGCGAGATAGGGTCCATGGAAACACTGATGGTAGCTCTAACACCGCTTTGGAAATTTGTCCCGTTGGCGCCCCTTAAAAAAGGACAGTAAAATCCAGCTGGGCGGTCAGACAGGGAGCTCAGACACCACTGCTGAGCCAATGGAACAATATCATGCAGGTGTACAGTGGATTTCCGTCATTTTCCTTTCCTCGGGTTGTACAAAGTATTTCATAATCTATCCTGCGTAATTTGAAGTTCCGATTTGACCATTTTTCCACTCTCCTACAAGCTTTCCCCACATGCAGTGAAAGTTTGTTTTTGTGCTTCAAAATAGCCTTATTATGAGTTGTTGTAAAATACACTTTTACATGAGATCATTTCACGGCCTATTTAAATTACGTCATTGTGGTAAGATGTATTGTATTCTTTCATTCAAACTAGCCCCCCTAAGCCTACGCATTATACAAAACCATGTCATCATCCTGTTTAGAAAATGCTGATTGGAACAAGATATGATAATGTTCCCGATGATAGGAAATGCTCATGGCTGTGGTTGTATTGTTGATTCTCACTGTTGCGTGTGTCATTCTTTGTTTAATATTAGCAGATGTTTCAGAGTTTTTGTTTGTGTGTTTTGGCCCTTTCCAGACCGAGGTGATAAAGGATGCCCTGAAGAAGCTGGGACTGAACATAGTGGAGATGACGGACGAAAACGCCACTCTAGACGGCGGGGATGTGCTGTTCACTGGTACGACATTCAAAATCATGTTACCAAAGAAAATGTTTAGACAGCCAGCCATTGTATTTGAGCTTACGGGCACAGACGTCAGCGCTCTATCTGCACGTGTTGAAGGTGTGATAGTCTAACAGTGAGATCTACAATTACTGACCACACTTCTCAGTAAAAAAAAGAAAAAAGCATCTTTGTACAGTTTGTTCAAACATTGCTCCAGATTTTTTATTTTTTTTTGGCAAGGTTGCAAAGTGTAGAAAAGAAAGTAGATGAGCGGTTCTTTTCAGGTCAGAACCCTTATTCAGCCATGCAAAATAGAAATCTACTTGTCTCCAAGGAGATGTTCCACAGTCAGGGGTGTAGTGGACGTGGTACGCGGGGGTACGACGTCCACCCACTTCTCCCGACGTAAGATATAAAAAAATAACAAATACAAAATAGCCTGCAGCTTAAATTTCAAACTGGAGCTATTGGCAATGGTGAAAACAACCTGCATAGGCTCATGATATCTGCAGTACTGTCCTATAGTGACCTGCATCATGAGGGGACCAGGACTGAACCAGGACTGAACCAAGACTGAATTAGGACTAAACCAGAACTAAACCAAGACTAAACTATGACTAAACCAGGTCTAAACCAGGACTAAACCGGAAATGAACCAGGCCTGAGTGTCGAGACGGGCCCAGAGGTGCATCCACGTAGACTGTCGGATGACCACAGGCAAAAGGACTAGTGCAGAGTTCCGCGCCCCATGGGGCTGAGAGCAGTCGTCACCCAATTGCACTTTGCGTACACCCTGCTCCGTGGACTCGGGGTTCTCTCGCTCTCAAGTCCAAGATTAGACCTGGTTTAATCCTGGTTTAGACCTGGTTTAGACCTGGTTTAATCCTAGTTCATTCTTAGTTTAGTCCTGCTGTAGTCCTGGTGTAGTCCGGGTTTAGTCCTGGTTTAGACCTGGTTCAGTCCTGGTTTAGTTCTGGTTTAGTCCTGCTTTAGTCCTGGTTTAGTCCTGTTAAGTGCTGGTTTTAGTCCTGTTTTAGACCTGGTTTAGTCCTGGTTTTAGACCTGGTTTAGACCTGGTTTAGACCTGGTTTAGTCTTGGTTTTAGTCCTGGTTTTAGACCTGGTTTTAGTTCTGGTTTAGTCCTGGTTAAATCTGGTTTCTGTTCTGTAGGTGATTCTGAATGGCGTTAATGTTAATCATCAATTGATTCTTGAAACTGATGACGTCAAGAATCACATACCCCCACTTAAAAAAATCCCCACTACACCACTGTCTACAGTATAGCATTAAATTAATCTTTTTCAATGGAAACAAGCTGGTAACTCCACTAGGCCAATTTACTAGTCAGATCTGTGAAGAGGCAGCCCTTCTCACAGTAAGAAAGCATGATTGAATGAAAGTGTTTTTAAGCAAAAACAACTCCTGTAATAAGTAAAGTAGTAAATAGTGCAAGTGTGTCTGGATGAGTAGAAATGTGGGTCAGTTGTTACTTTGCAGGTGAAACTGCTCTGTCTGAGGTGCTGCAGATTAAGTTAGACTTTAATCTGAGCTTTATTTGAACACAGTCTGACCATAAAGAACCAATGTAGTTAGAACTACAACAGTCAAGCCCCTTCCCCACCCACCCTAAAGCCTTTGCCAACCACTATTTTTCTTCATTCTAGCATGTTATACAAAAAGAATACAATATATATCTGGGGGGTATATACTTACGGCCACAGTGCAAGTCATCCTAAGGTTTTTATTCCATATTATATTCTATATGGCTCTTCCTCTTTGCTGTTCAGTGATTTTATGTGCCGTTATATCACATATTATAATACACATTGACATTAAAAGGCCCATGAACAAAGCTAATTACTTTAATGCTCTCTGTAGAGTACTTATGCTGGATGAGAAGCAATCTTCTTTTACTTCTATGCTTTGGAAGAGACTAGACAACCTCAGTGACCTGCCTCACACTGCATTCCCCCCAAATCTTATTTACCCTCTTTCATGGTCAAAGAAAATCAGTGGAAATAACTAACATAAACATTGTAGATTAAAATTGCAGCAAAACTTTATTAGATTTTCTGTACGTTTTAACATGTGGTTTTTAAAATGTGGGTCAATGTCTGACTTCTACACTACCCAGGCCACTAGGGAAAAAAGCCTAGTACACCTAATTAGGTTCCTAGACACTGACTTGTGCTCCCAATCCTTCCAGCCCAAATGGGTTTCATATGGCAGGGCTAGAAACATTTCCTGCTGGCATGCCCCAAGCTAACAGCTCATTTTGTAACAGCACAGTAGACTGAGAAGAACCCAATATCTAGACTTTGCATGCAATGGGGCACTGTCTACTGTAGTGCCACACCAGTCTGACCACACAAACTCCCACACAAGGCTTCACTGTCACTAGCAAAGCGTTCATCTCTAACTGTAACTTTATACCGTGAAATATTTGAAAGATTGCAAAGTCTACCAAGAAAGTTTTCCTTGGTAATTTCATTTTCATATGCTTCCAGGTCAAGAGTTCTTTGTGGGCCTATCCAAGCGGACCAATCAGAGAGGAGCAGAAATCTTAGCTGATGCCTTTAAGGTAAGAGACACTCAGAGACAAATCGCATTATAATCGCATATGTGCATAAAGCATTTTAACCAGTCCCAATATTTTTTGTTTAACTTTACCGTTACTTAAAGCTTGCTGGGTACTGTCTGTATCTAATTATGAAGTGTTTTATTGCTCGATAATCAGGATGTGTAGTGTTGGCGTGCTAGATGTTGTTAGCATTGACAGTAAAACTCTGATCCAACCTCTGTAAAGATAAGCTTTTATAAACTCATCGCAGTAAATTAAGGATGCTAGGAATGCATGAAGAGCTTTAATAATTCTCATTGGTTATTTTGAGATTCTAGATGTGATGATGTCAGATACTCTCTATTGATTAAAAAAATCCTGTATATAAATGATTAGACTAGTTGCTATATTACTGCAAAAATCAGATTTTTAAAAATGTAATTCTTTTAGCTGTCCACATTTGTATTAAATACTATTGGCTTATAGAATGTTGTGATGTCTTTCAGCAGTAGCAGAGACCATTTAATGCAGCAGGAAGGACATGGAGTCTTGACCATGATTTGATTTAGAATCTTTAGGGAAAGCTATTGATTTATCTGTGATCCCTGGAGATGCTGCTCACAGTGTCCATAAGTCCATTAGAAATACTTGAGACCAGTCATGTTGTGACATGGATCACACCAGATTGACATATGTAGCTCTTTGAACTGAGGTCTAAACATCAGTCTGGGATTCAGCTCTTGGTGAAAGTCACTGGATAATGCAGAACGTTATGATGATTATTTGAATCTGATTGGTCAAAGGTCACAACAGTGGAACAAAAAAAAAAAATAAATCAAACTTTTGTTACATCATTACATGAGAGAAAAGCACAGGCATCTTTCCTGTCCCCAAATGCTCAAAGCACTTGGCCATGTATGGTTTATATAAACAAAATAGATTGCATTAATACTAAAATTAGATGAAAATGTCTATTTGCATTGCCATGTTTGTTTTAGTTCGTTTGGGCACTTCTCCTGTGACTTCAGTCCTCAGTGCTGCTCTGTGATTGGTCCTTTCACCCGCTTATCCGGGGGCATGCCAAGATGGACTCTCTTAAGTTTGTGAAATCACAAATATCGTGAGAATCCATCTTGCTGTGCTAGGTTAGTACTGCTGCATGCTTTTGCAAATTTGTTTTCCAAGATAAAGTTGTATTATGTAAATCATAGTAGCACATTGAAATGATTTACGAGGCCCCTTTATCACAGACGTTTTGATGTTGCTCGATGCCACTGAGAATAAGATAAACATGTTATGAGTCACAAGAGCTTAAAGACATTATCACTCCATTTGTCCCATGGCCTGGTCACTTCCTTAATGCCATCGCTGTAATTGTGTTTGCCCTGGCTCTCCATCAGTCCTGTCCCTACACATTAAACCTCCTGTGTCTCCCTCCATTAAATTTACTCAGACATCAGTCCTTCTCTTCTCAGCTCCACGTTATCAGTCAAAATTATAAACTTTACTAAACACTAGCATCCTGTAAGATTTCACCTGTCAAAACAACCAAGTTAATGGATTTAGCCATTTAGCAAACTGGTGGGCTCATGGAAAGTTTTTAGGGAGTTAAAAGCTTAGTTGTTTCTGTACAAATGAATTAACAGTTAAAAATTGGCCTGTTGACGTAATCACAACACGTGTGCGGTCTGCCATCTGCATATCTCCATGCATGCTATTTTTTTTTTTTACCATGGAATGTTCCACAGTTTGGCATTAAACTCTTTGCATTAATACAATTACAGGTAATTTATAATGCATTCTTTCTCTCTGACAACTTATAAATTGGCCTGTTGGCATCTCATGCTTTTATACGTAGGGATGTTTAAAGCCTACAAGTGGTAAAGCAATAATATTTTTATGGAAACAACCAGCTAGTCTGCCTTTTTTAATTATGTCAATATGACTTTTAAATTGCAAGACTGGATATAATTTTAAACTATCAAAAGGCTGGCTGAAGTCTCTCCTCTGTTTATTTTTTTTCCTGTGGTTGACATGACCTGGTATGTCTCCTTATCTTGCAGCTAATGGGAGCTTTGAGGTTTTTCTAGATATGACCATATTTTTCCTTCTGACAAATCCTCAAACACAGTGACCTGACCTTGACAACCATCAGTAAGCCCCCGATTATCCCTCTCCCTCACCACACAGAATCAAAGGAAAAAGTAGCACAAAAAACACAAGTCACCACTTAAATATTCTGAACTAATGTGAGTGGATTTGACAGTCTGCTGACAACATGCGCCAGAAAAGTGCATGGCAAAATGATACACTTTTATGAAATTAGATGAGATGATTTTCTGAAGAAACATTTTCACAACTTGAAAACAAAGGTTAATTTATAGTCTTTACATCTCAAAGTAATAAGATTAGTTCCTCCAGCTATAGGTACTCTTGCCTAAGATCTAGCAACATTTTGAGGACCATTCAAAATATAGAGTATACTATCTTAAATTTTTAATCACTATGGCAATTGTGCTATGTTTTATCATTTTGTAGACCAGGATATATAGGGTATACTACACAATACAAATGTAGAGATTATATACCATAAATTCTGGACTATAAGCCACTATTTTTTTCTCATACTTTGAACCCTGCGGCTAATAAAACGATGCAGCTAATATATGGGTGTATGTTTGGCACATTGTCCGCTAAATTAACATTAGTGAGGGGGATATGTCTTACCCGTATGGGTAAATGTCTCAATCTTCAGTAGCTAGACATGCACAGTAGAGCGTGGGGAGAGACGGGAGTGATGCACCGAGGAAGATGCTTGTTTGATTGTGTTTTGAACTGTTATTTTATACTTCATACACACCTCCTTCATGGAAAACACACAAAGAAATCAATGATGATGCAGCTTTTAAGTTAATGATGACTGATGTGTTTGTGCAAGAAGGAAATCGAGCTGCTGCACATGAGCTCGGCTTCAATGAGTCGATGGTGAGACTTTGGTGATTTTTGGTGACAAACTGGCTCAATGCAAAAAGGCGACAAAAGTTTTCAGAGGCAAGAAAAACAGACGGCCCAAACTTGATAACTTTCTTGAAGACGTGGACACCTGCAACTTATATTCAGGTGCAGCCTGTATATGTACAATTTTAAAATTTTGTTAAAATTTTGTTGATGCGGCTTATATTCAGGTGCGCTCAACAGTCTGGAAAATACAGTAGGTAGCAAAAGTTGTATAAATATTTGAAAATATATTTGGTTGTAATGGTTGTAGTGTTAGCAGCAGTTGCAGTAGCTCCAGTAATAAGCCAGTAGTATTTGTAATAGCTCATATTACTGTATTACAGTTTTGCACATACTTTTATTAATTACATTCTTGGATCAGTTTAAAGTTGCATTGTGTAACTTTTCTGGTGGAGGGTCCGTTAAAATCGTTTTTCAGTGAAGATGTGATTGTTTTTTCTGGAAACTTTCACAGTGTAGTATTAAACATTTTTATCTTCATGGAGACCAAACCAGACCAAGTTACAGGTCAGATCTGTGGAGAGGCAACTCTGCTCACAGTCAGAATATAGATATTTTTGAGCTATAAAACCACCTGTAATTGAGTAACTGTAAGGTAGAGTTGTTTATATCATACTGTGGAACATTCCAGGCAGAGCAATGACATATTCACAGAAACAAGCAGGTGACAGACTCCCAACCAAAAAGTTACATAATGCACCTTTGATTGGAGGACAGATTTAGATTACGTAAAGGACCCATGCCTGACATTTATATCTTGTAGTACAGGAAAGCACATTTTTCTCCATGCAGTAAATTGTAAAAGCAGTGATTTGTGAAAAAGACACTTGTGCAATATTGCATACACATTTTAATAGTCACTTTCTTGGTTCCAGAAGGAAGCAAGTGTTAGACAATTTTATTAAATCCACATGGAAACTGTGACTACTGCAGACAGTTCTTTCTCTGTCAGGGTTCAGCATGAGAGTTAGGGAAAGGACAAAGTGTGCAGAGCTAACTTAACTACTGAGTTAATTGTGAAACATGTTCTTCACTTGTGGGTAAGTTTCTCGATATATGCCTTTTACTTTTTGCTCAAAGTAGTGTTATGTGAGCATTGTTCTGAGAAACCAGATCTGAAGCATTGCTGAGTCAGGTTCACGGGAAGGCCAGAACTCAGAAGTGTATTACTGTAACCTGCCTGAGACATCTTCCCATCTGTCTCCCATTTGCCCCATTACAAAGATTCCTGTGTGTTTTCTGTTATCTCTGACAAACTGGCTCCTAATGATGCGTCCTTGGCAAATCACACTCGGAAAAGTCACTTAGGCATCCATTGTAGTTCTTTCCATTTTTTATCAGATAGACAGCTCTTATCGCCTGTTGGTTTTTCCCCTTATTATCAAATTATTGGCAGCATTGTGTTGCCAGCTTGGTTTAGAAATCAACAACTGCAGACAGATGTTGACATTTTTTTGGTTTGGACTTGCAAAAGTGCATGACAAACAGGTTGAATGATTATTTGTGGTCGGAGGTGCTAGTGGTGGAGATGGCAGCCTCTCTTCTGACAGTCTGCCCCAGGACAACTGTGGCTGCAAGAATATGGAGTAAATGAATAACGACTGCAGTTAGCCCTGTCATGATAATTACTATTACTATTTTAACGTATTCTTCAATATATATTTGATGGAATAATAATTTTTGGGGGTCAGTGTTTATTGTGGGGACTTTTTCTTTGTATAAGTGGGGAATTTTTTGTCATTTTTCTGTTCTATAATTAGATTTTGTTAGTTGGTCATTAGTCATTTTGTTTGTTAATTGTTTTATTTAGTTGTAGAGGGATTAATATCTGTTTCTGTGGCTTGTTTTAATGTTTAAAGGTGCACTGTGCAATTTTTCTGGTGAAGCAACTGCTACCTGCTTGTCTCCATGGAGATGATAAACATATTTCACACATATTTTTTCATTATGCATGTTTCTGTGGCTCAAAAATACAATAACTCCTTCTGTGAATAAGGGCAAATCTCTAAACTGTAATGTAACGTAGTGCTGTATCCTGCTGTTGTGATAGAATAGCATTTCCCTGGAGACAAGCAGATCTCTGACCTTATACTAGAAATGTTACGTTATGCACCTTTATTTCTGCTATTTATTTATTGCAATTCATGTTTTTTTTAACCATATTATACATTTTAGAATATTTATTGAGATAGTCATGCTTTATGGTTACTGTGTCAGTGGTTTGGATGTAACAATATCCAACCCTCTCAATATGATAATCTCACCATATCCATATCGATGTTTATTGCGATATTTTGTGGAGGCAAAAAAAAAAAAAAAAAAAAAAGTGAGTATGCTACTTTTCTCTCATCACAATCCAAATAATCAAGATTTAAAAGTGCTTCATAACAGTTATTTCAGCATGTAGGTTGGACTGAAACAGAGCAAAGGATCATGGTCTATGTAGTTCTCAATGTTTTTTAGCTGTTGCTGCACCAAGACAATGCATTTACACAGAGACACTTGAGATTCGATATATTGTGACGGCCCATGATATTATTGTGAGACTTTTGACAATGCAATATCACAATATTTTAATTATTGTTACATGCCTAGTCAGTGGCATAAATTAGTTTCAGTATTACCATTTATCTTCAGTATTTTCTTCAGCAATATATCAGACTTCAAACTTTGTTATTGTGACAGGTCTAACTATAGTTCAGCACTTCCAGAGGCTTTGCACAAACCTGGAAAGCACATTGCAAGTGTAAGTAGTAGGTATGTACTAGTAGGGAGTTTTGTAATAAGTAGTTAGTGGTATGCATTATCTGGTAGGAGCTTTTGTCCCTCTGAAAATAATGGTAAAAATATTTGGAGTTGCATGACATTCTCTTGAAAAAAGCATACTTTGTTCCATATGGTCTTTTGCTGAATTATGTAAAGGGTCTTTTCGGGCCACAATATGGCTGCTTTGCGTAAGATCTGATTCTGTAAAAAAAAACAAAAAACAGCTCTGTCTCCCTTGATTTCCCAGTGGATGTATCAGATGAGGAGGAAAAGTATGACTTGCGTTTCTAATTTTAAGATGAAACAAACCCTCCTTTTCACCGATAAGGAGCAGTGATATTCCAAGTTACATAATTCCCAGCTGACCCTCGGTATCTTCTAAACAAGAGCCAAAGCAAGCGTGCAGGAAAGCATTAAGGATGTGGTAATTGACTATTTTGTCCACAGCTGCTGCTCTGGCCTTCAGTCACAACAACCTCCAAAGTGATTCATGGCGTTCTAATGAGCCAAGTTCAAATATTGTTCTGCGAAACGTTACCGTATTCCTTAATGGAAACTGTCAACTATTTGCTATAGAGGAAGTAGAAATATGGAGCGGTTAACATTGTATTATATATCTGGGAGCAATAAAAACGATATTCCAAACATATCATGCAATTAAGAAAACACATTAAACTCATAGGAGAGGCAGTTCCAATCTCTTACAAGGTAGAATTTATATGGGCTTAGAAATGAATTCCTGTTAAATAGTGAAGAAAAAAGACAGTTCCTGGAAAGTAAAACTACACTTCTATTTGTCATTGTAATTTATGATAGATCTTATTACCAAGTGGATAAATATTGATACGGAACCGTTTTGGCAACTAGAGAGTTTTTTCCACATATTTTTAGGAAGCAATAATTCTAAATGTAATATTATTGATTTACTTGGGCATATGATTGGGTAAATTGACCAAAATATTTCAATACATTTTTTAAATTATTCTGATGACAATATGGGTGATGGTCGCTCAGTTGGAAGTGTTTGTCCACTGATCCGAAGGTTGGTGGTTCGAATCCTGCTCTCGACATATTTGCGGTCAGATCCACACAATGAGCTGGAATTGGTCCGCAAACATGTGAGTCATGTTTGTGGACCAGTTCCAGCTCATTGTGTCCTTGGGCAAGACCAACTTGTCCCCAGTGTCTGCGTACTTTGGTGTGTGTGTGAATGAGTGAGCGGTTCCTTGATAGGAAGCGCTTTGAGCCTTGAAGGTGGAAAAGCACATGTATAAAAATGTGACCATTTACCATTTACCATATGCAGAAGTATCATCTTGATACTTACACAGAAAGTTTTTCCCTTTTTTTTTTTTTCTTTTTTTTTCTATTACACTGTTTACATTTTCCGAACAAACACTGCAGTATTATCCATTTATCTGAAACTGAAACTGAGGTCAATTTGAAGTTTGAATATATGTTTTCACTGCATTCTTTAGTTAGTTGTACTTACGCACATTACTCATGTTATGTTAAGATAGATAGGAGTGTAATAGTATTTTGACTTTGCAGGACTATGCTGTATCCACTGTGCCTGTGACTGAAGGATTGCACCTGAAGAGCTTCTGCAGCATGGGGGGACCTGGCCTTATTCTTATTGGCTCCAGTGAGCACGCCCAGAAAGCCCTCAAAGTAAGTGCACTCATTTTATATGCTCGATTTTATTGTTACTCAACACTCCTATATTACGCAAAATTGACTTTTGTGAGCTTTAAACCGTGTTAGAATGTTGTTACCTCCTCAAAAACATACCTAGAGATGTGTTTTGTTTCATTCACACATGTCTGAGTAATCCTGGATTATTAGGCTGTCTACATTTCCAAAGGTCAAAATGCACTGTTCCACCTTGGGATGTCATGTCAGTAGTTTTCAAGTTAACATCTTAAATTTATTTAAGTAGAGATGGGCAATCCCAGGGCTGAAATTATCCAAGTGATAATTCCAGTGAAAGTGTGTGGAGTTTAAAAACAAATTGTAGCACTTCCTATATTATGTATTATAAATATGCAGGATTTGAGTTAAACATGTGTGAATGAAACAAAAAACAACTCCAGGTATGTTTTTGATGGGGAAACATTATAACATAGATCAGAAAATAGCAAAATATAGGCCGTTTAAGGATAGCCCCTGATGTTTAATGGGAGTTACAGACATACCTCTCTATTAAACTGTACAAATGCTGTCTTTACTCCATTAAAATGTCTTTCTTCAAAAATAGAAGCCTCTATATAGAAGCACTGTGAGGCCAAAGGTGCTTGATTAAAAATGATTTACAAGACATGGCATATCTCTCATGTTGTAGCTTGCAAAAAAACTCAACTTTTTTTTTTTTTATTGATTAAACTGCTCATGTCTTATTGTCAGTAACAGAACCACACTAGACATTTTACCATGCCTCCTTGACAGAGATCACCCCCTGCTGGTAGAGGTAATGAAAGTCTAAATCCACACACAGTTTAAGATAGACTGTGTACCCTTTGCTATTATTGGTTTTAAAAAGGTACTAGAATTGCAACTAGGTCTGGTTTGTCCGTGTCTTAACCTGCATAATACAGTTTGCATATTAACAGACATACTTTGAAAGATCTGAATCCCCACATTTCAGTTCTTGAGCTTTAGCACTGAAAAGATTGGCTGCTGGTGCTTGGGTGATGGTAGTGAGTGCTCAAATCAAAGAAAGTTATCTGCAGTAGAATCTGGCAACCTAAACTGAAGAGCTAATTCTGCTTTCTGACTGGATAATTGGACTCATGGAAAACACTATATGCAAACCTAAACAACTTGCACATCATAAGTCAACATTATAAATGCTATGAGTAAACTTTGATTTAAAAATGTTTACTTCATAACTGGGGACACAGGAAGGTAATGTTTATGAAATATTAGATCCAGATTTTAAAAGTCCTAAATTACGCAAAATTGTGAGCGTTAAGCCATGTTGTAATGCTGTAACCTCATCAAAAACATACCTATAGTTGTGTTTTGTCTACATCTCCAGGCTCAGGCTCAAAATGCTCAGTTTTTGATGAAGAAACAACATTATAACATAGATCTGAAAATAGTGTAATATGGGCCCTTTAAATTAACTTTTACAATGATATTTAGAACCCATAAATAAAACATGACTGACAAATACATCAACATCTATGCTCAATACACATAGCCAGGTATTTTTGGCAGCTCTAGTTTTTTTTTTTTTTTTCTTCCTGTAAATTTTCTGCAAGTTCACAGCATTGACAATTACAATTAAATCTGTACTATATGCAATTACTGGTTGTAGGAAAAACAGTGTGGATTTTATGTATTCAGTTTGGGTCCAGGTACACTAAATTTGCTGTTTATGTCTGACTTTTTAATTGTTTTGTACAATGTTGTCTGGAAAATTTAGTTCAACACCATTGAGAAACAGTAAAACCCAGCACCCCAAAAGAACAGCATGAACCATTTCCATAATCTCCTGGACAATTTGAATCACCATGTTTATATTGAATATAATGCTTAGAATAAATACTTAAATTAATCCTCTTTTCCAACTTTATCTTGTTAAATTTGTTGGCTGTTTGATCGTCCATGGTAATTATCCAGTGGTGCACGCAGTAACTGTTAACCATGGAGCTAATTACAGACTCCTCTTTCCCCACTTACGTCTTACCTCACCTTCTCTTCATTAGCTTCTGTTTTAAAGGAGGATTTTAACAACCCACGGATTTGTAATTAGGTAATGTTCTCTTCTAAACGCTGCTTAAATCATTTGGAGGTGCCTGTTTTGGATACAGCGGATACAGCTGCCATGACAACACAGCTTTTGTGTTTGCATACTTGTGGATAATTGCGCTCTGTACAAATTGAATGAGGAGACACGTTGTTGTTTAGTTTGTACAAATTGCTGTAGGGAGATGTGGTCATGTAATTGATGCAGTGTCTATTGCCCAAATGTGCAGACTTGTACTTTTTGTATCCTGATATCCTCCCATGAATAATAATTAAAATAATACAGCCTATATATAGATGCTTTATTAAGTATCCTGTTTTTGGGGTTCTTATCTCACACTGTAAACCTGAATAAGCAACCAGAACTCAAAGTAATTGAGGCCATCGATTGCCTCAGTTATTTTAAGTTGATGACCTTAAAAGTCACAATCTTCCAGAACTTAAAAGGTTGGATGGCTTGCTACTTGTACTTGTACTTAATGATTTTGTATACACAATCCAGTACATTCAGCAGTATCTACACACAGTATAGTATACATATAGAAACATTATATATACACACATTATACACACCATAGGAGGAGAATTTGAACCCAGGTCCCCCATGTGAGAGTCAGGAGATTTACCAGTTGAGCTACCCAGCTGAACGCAAAATGCACACAGGAAATCATCCATTATAGTATACATACTATAAAAACATGATATTATACCTATAGACCCATTATACATATATTAGATTACACACACTTTAGGGGGGATTAAATCCAGTTTTCCTCCTGTGAAAGTCAGGAAATTTACTAGATTAATCAATATTATATAATATGTATATAGTTTAATAATACATATATACTTACATACATTACACATTATAGTATACATATAGTATATTATACACACATTACATATTATTTTTTAATTACTTAATTCTAAATTGTACCTCATCTATGTTTTAAAGTTATGCACACTTATACCCATAATTGTTCCCTTTAATCAAAAAATGTTAGTTAAAATTACTCAAAAAGAAGAACATGTTACAAGTTGACACAATTAAGTTACAAGGATTATTTCTAATACTGTGAGTATACACAGCTTAATCTATTTAATTTCTTTGAATGTTCGGGTTTACAGTGCATATAAATGGAATGGATTGTGTTCGGTAGGGCATCTGGCCTAAAATATTCTGTTATATACGAATGTATGTATACGAATGCTGCACCACTTTTCCAAGTGGTGCAGCATTGTTAGTAGTAGGCTACTGGTTTTGTCTTTTGTCTTTTTGCCATAACATTGCTTTTAAAAGCAATTTGTAACTTTTGAATGATTATGTACTTTTTCAAATAACTACATAAAATCTTAAGATTATGTGTTCCTTAATAGAATGCACAGTTTTACAATTCAGTTATCATTTTTACAAAGTATACCTTAAAGAATTAACCCTAACCCTAACATCTGAGAAGAATAGCATGATTAAATAAAATGTATACTTAGATTAAAACATCTTTGTTGGTCTGGCTTGAAAATGACCTCCCCCAGAGACAGAAGGATCACCCCAGTGCTTCTTTCTCTGTGTTTACAGTGGAGAGGACTTTGTTAGAAACCAGCTGGCCTGTTACATTCTCTGTGTGGAGGCTTACGTCTCTATTCAGACTCTTGTGTGTGTGCTGAGCTCTGCTGTAGTGACCGGATGGGTTTCATCACATCTGCCCTTCGTCACCGTCGATCCTCGCTCATGAAGTCATCGCCAGAAATAACACCCTGTGTCACCCACGGCAGCACCCACTACATATCTCTCCATCTCCGCTCTCTTCCTCTCTCTTTCTCTCTGTATCTGTTACTCATCCTCTTTCCCTCTCCACATCATTACCCTCTCTCTCTTTCTCTTAACTCTCCCCATCTTCTATCTACCTCTCTCTCCCCATCTCCTCATTCTCCCCATCTCCACTCTTTTCTCTCTCTTTCTCTGTGTTACTCATCCACTCTTTTCCCTCCATATCATTACTCTCGCCCTCTTTCTCTAACTCTCCCCATCTTCTATCTGCCTCTTTTTCCCTATTTCCTCATTCTCCCCATCTCCATGCTCCCCATCTCCTCTCTCTCCCTCTCTATTTCTCTCTTTCTCTCTCTATCTGTTACTCATCCACTCTTTTCACTTTCTATATCATTACTCTCTCTCTTTCCCCATCTCCTCATTCTCCCCATCTCTATGCTCCCCATCTCCTCTCTCTCCCTCTTTCTCTATCCTTTACTCCTCCTCTCCACATCTTTACGCTGTCTGTCTGTCTTTCTATCTATCTATCTATCTATCCCCATTGTCTCCTATCTTTCTCTCACTCTCTCTCCCTCTCCCTCCCTCTGTCTCTCTCTCCCTCACACTCTCTCACTCTCTCACTCTCTATCTATCTATCTATCTATCTATCTATCTATCTATCTATCTATCTATCTATCTATCCCCATTGTCTCCTATCTTCCTGTCTCTCTCTCACTCTCTCCCACTCTCTCTCCCTCTGCTCTCTCCCTCACTCTCTCTCTCTATTGCCTCCTATCTTCCTCTCGCTCTCTCTCTCTCCCACTCTCTCTCCCTCTGTCTCTCTCTTCTCTCCCTCACTCTCTCTCTCTCTGTCTGTCTGTCTATCTATCTATTTCTCCCCATTGTCTCCTATCTTCCTCTCACTCTCTCACTCTCTCCCACTCTCTCCCTCTCTCTCTCTTCTCCCCCTCACTCTCTCTCTCCTTCTCTCTCTCTATCTATCTTTCCCCATTGTCTCCTATCTTCCTCTCGCTCCCTCTCTCTCTCTTCTCTTCCTCACCCTCCCCCACTCTCTCTCTCTCTCTCACACTCTTCTATCTCTCTCACACACTGAGGTCACACTCCAAACTGGACTGAACACCTCACTCATGTTTATGTCCCCAGTCTGAGAAGT